GGTTTAGGACCAGTGAACTGAGTTTAGGTTAGGTTTAGGGTCAGGTAGGTACTGGTGGTTATAGGTTTAGTGTGAAGGGCCAGGGTTAGGCTGTAGAAATGACCTGTAAATGAATAGAAGTCAATGCAAAGTCCCCACGAGGATAGAAAAACTAACCTGTACGTGTGTGTGAGGACTGGTCAAGATACAGAAAGTGTTACTTGAACTTATTACAAAAATAATTCATGTTTTTAACGAAAGTTTTATTTAATATTGAGAATTAACATTGTAAAATGTGAATATAAAAGTATTAAAAATATGGCATTAGTGAAAGAAACAGATTTTTTTAATTTTTGAGGAGCTTTTTTGTGCTTCCATATGGACTGAACTAATGATATGAAAACATATTTGCTCTTCTTGCCCTAAAAAAAGAGTCATTTTCACAGATTTTTTTTCAGGCATGTGTCTCATTTGCAGCACATTGGGTCAGTGGTTAACACTGTAGCCTCACAGTATAAAGGTTCTGGGTCCAAGTCCCAGGTGAGGTAATTGCATGAGTTGCCAGATAGGATGTGATGAAATATTGTATTGCAGTTTTAAAACTGTTGTTTTTTGACTCAAACATAGGCTACATTCATACTGCAGGCATGTCTTAAAGCGTCTGTACTTAAGTATCAAAAATACATTTCTGATGTTTTTGTATTTTACTTTACAACTCTGCTGGTAAACAGACTCCCATACTTAGGCCACGTGTAATACTTCAGGTGTTCCTGCAGGGAAGATTCCCTGTTTTCATTTGTCTGATCTGATCTGAAACAACACACACAGCTTTTTGTTTGAGTCAACAGAGAGAATGACTAACATTTTTTTGTATTTTAATTTCAGGAGACCTGAAGATTAGCAAACGAAGTGTGTCAGGTAAGTACCTTTTTTGGCACTTTCATGATCTTTAGAACAAAACTCTACTAGCAGGCAAGTGTAACCTGTGTGTGTGTTTAAGGGTTGTATATTGCCCTGATGTGTTTTATTTAGGTAAAGTTAATCTTGTGAGAAAAGCCTGTGACTTGACCTACATTGGGAGCAATTGTTGACAAAAGGTCACTCTTTTGTTTTCGTAAGATGTCGAAATTTGAGCCATCAGTTTTCAGGCGTTAACATGTCCTCCCAACCTCAGGTATAACATTAAGGTTTACACAGCATCAAAACACACACATCTTCAGAATGTATATAAACATTAGAGTTAAAGTAGAACAAACCCAGAAGGCCAAGAAGAACCTGTCAAAAATAATCTGACCACCTTTTTCTCCCCTCCTTCCAGCTGTTGCAGCCAATGAGATGCAAAACCCAGTGGGACCACAGTACCAAGGTAAGACTCAAAGAAAGGAGAGTCAAACTAATTCACCGAGGTCCGCATGAGCTGTAATTAACCTCACTGTTTTGTGTTTAACTTCAACTAAACACAAAAYGTCACATTCCTCATTGTTAGCACAGCTAACAAACAATAATTGAGCTCTATGTGGTATTTCCTGTATAGAAACAGCGTTTTAACACATCCTCTTCTAAAAACCACTACGTGTATGACTGATTGAATAAGACATAAATATTACAGAAATATTATTATTATAAGGGAGTTTTACTCACTGTTGAGCTGAGCGGCTGCTGTCTTAAATTCTGAGTTTAAATTTACGACAGTGAAAATATGCCGACTACTAGCTATATTTGAACCCTGTGCACCAACACCTAGTGGTGAGTTGATGTCATTTTGGGGGTAGAATAATAAAGGGAGATGTAGTTTATAGTCAATGCTGGCTTTAAAGCAGCATACGTTTATTTTAAAGATATTAATATATTTTTGAAGCTCCAACGGGTCACATCATATTTCGTGGTGGACCACATTTGGCTCACGAGCCTTAACTTTGACACATGTGCCCGAGGCAAGATCAAATTCTTATCAAATCCTTACCTACCGAATGTCTTTATGTCAACACTGTTCTATGTTGTCTAAAATAACTGTTTCCTCTCACTTTGGCCCCAAACATCTTGTCCTGACGTCAAATGAAGACAAAGAGTTGTGTTTTAACACAACTGTCTGCTGGTTTCTCCACAGTCCGGCTGGTGAACGGGCGTAACGGGTGCGAGGGCAGAGTGGAGGTGCAGTTTGACGACCTCTGGGGCACGGTGTGCGACGACGACTGGGACATGGTGGACGCCAACGTGGTGTGYCGGCAGATGGGATGCGGTGTGGCCGTAGCTGTGGGCAGCAGCTCTCAGTTCGGCCAAGGCTCCGGGCTCATCGCTCTGGACAACGTAGACTGCAGGGGCAACGAGAGCAACCTGAGTCAGTGCCACAGTCTGGGCTGGGGCGTGCACAACTGTTACCACTATGAGGACGTGGGCATTGCCTGCAGAGGTAAGGCTGTCAGATTCTTCAGAGGAKCTTAGGATTGATTTATCAAAAGGTTACTTTCATTTCTTAGTTTTTTGTTTGTTTCTTTCTAGAACTACCTTTGCCGATAGCACGGGATTTTGCRGGAACCACCACACCATCTGTAGTCAGCCCTGGCTTACGTAAGTTCCTGCTGCTCTCAGCAAATCTAGACCTCTCTTCTGCAGACTAGAAAATACAAAAAGGGAAGAGAGTTGGTGCTTTGATTTCACCACTCTTTGGTCACATGTCCAAGTGRACCCCCACTGCCTCTGATGTGTCCCACAGTGAGTTTTAAAGCACTGATTAGTCTCTACAGATTGATTTATCTRGATTAGCTAGTAGAGTGCTGTGTGAATGGATAAATGAGGCACAGATTGCAGCGTGAAGAGCTTTGACTATTCTGGTTGGATAAAAAGGCTCTACATAAGTAAAGTCCGTTCATTAAATCTAACTAAACTTTTTAATTTTTGTGTAACAGTAAATTCATTAAAATGATAGTTCAACCATTATGAAGTGAGGTTTGTGAAACGATTATAAACAATTGATATCTTACCTGCTGCTGAAAGCTCTTTGAACAACCTCATTTTGAGGTAAACCTCAGTTTGAATCAAATTAGGACCGATAAGCAAGGATTCATTTAGGCTTTAGCTGCATCAGGCTGTTAGCCCATCCTCCCTGTCAGACAAACTTAATTTCTCCAAACTGATTCTATCCATAACAGATGTATTTTTTATAGAAAATTAAATGGTTAAGCTATTTTCTTACACCTGGTGAAACTGGTATTTTTGAAAAAATATATATATATATGTATGAATGTATGTATGTATAGAAATAGCTCCCAAACTTACAGCTGGAAGAGCATTTTAGAACAGCTAAATAATGCAAAGAATTGGAAAGATTTGCAATATCTTATCATCTAAAGTTCATGATAATGTTAAGATTTTAGGAATCTGGGAAAATCTTGAGCAGTCGGTCTACGTTCCTGCTCTCATCTTTGGCCACGAGCTTTGACCAAAAGAAGGCAGTTGAAATGAGTTTTCTCTGCAGGGCAGCTGGACKTAGAGATAAGGTGAGAAGTTSAGTTATCCTGGAGAGACTCAGAGTAGAGCTGCTGCTCTGTCACATCYAGAGGAGCCAGTTGAGGTGGTTCATCTGGTCAGGATGCTTCYTAGACRCCTCCATAGGGAGGTGCTTCAGGGATGTCCTAGTGGGAGAAGATCCTGAGGAAGACCTAGTACCTGCTGGAGAGACTATGTCTCTGAATTGGCCTGGGAACGCCTTGGAGTCCTCCCAGAAAACTGGAAGAGGGGGCTGGGTTGGATGGGTGGGTGGATGGATTGATTGATGGATGGATGGATGGATGGATGGATGGATGGATGAAACTGCAAAAATAAGCTTTGGTTAAATTTTTAACAATGACTTATCGTATGTCCTTGTTTCAGGTCCAAAATGCATATTCCCATGAACCCGTCTTTTTTTTTCAGAACAAGAAGTTCTTAATTTCTTTTTTGTTGGTTCCAAAATGTTAGATGATATCAAAGATCTAAAAGTTCAGACTATCCTTTAGACATCTTTATGGAAAGTGTGCCAAAGATCCCAAAAGCATCTAGAGTTGCAGACCATCCTTACTGTTCACCGGATTGTCTTTGTTGTGGTGGTTGTGTTGTCTTTCCCAGTAATGCCCAGGGGAAGATCATGAAAAACGTTGACTGTATCAAACTTGGCACACAAATGTCTGAGTGACGCTTTTATGTAACTCTCCTGTGACCACCATGAAACCAGGAGGTCATCCAGATTTGTGACTCCCCTGTCTGGTGGGACACTTGAGAGTGTCTATTGTCCCTGTTTTGTCTGGGACAAGCAGAAAGGGTCAACATTTATTCTTGGTGCAACAGTAGATGGAATCTTTCCTCCCCTGTTCTGCTTCTCATTGTGTTTTTGTGTCTCTTTGGTTGTTTGGATCAGTGTGTCTGTGTCAGGGTTTCCTTTGATCCCACCCTAAATGACATTATCCACTGTCTTGAAAAATGTTCAGTCAACAAATATGTGTTCAGTTAATTCCTCCTGTCTTGCTTGGTTTAGGAGACGGCACAATTCGTTTAGTGAATGGGAGGAACTCCTGCGAGGGCCGAGTCGAGATCTACTACCAGGGAAACTGGGGCACGGTGTGCGATGACGACTGGAACCTCAACAACGCCGTGGTGGTGTGCCGTCAAATAGGCTGCGGTACCGCCGTCGCTGCGCACACCAACTCCTTCTTCGGCTACGGCACCGGGCTCATTCTCCTGGACAACGTCAACTGCCGCAGCAACGAAGTCGAGCTGAAGTCGTGCAAAAACCTCGGCTGGGGCAAACACAACTGTGGGCACCATGAGGACGCYGGGGTCACCTGCACTGGTACAGTTCGGATGTTTTCAGCAAATGTGCAGATTGTTGCGTGATACATATTTATGTGAATGATGTCATCATTTCAATTGTTGTTCATATGGGATTCCTGTTGTGTTCCCAATCAGGAATCTCCACTGTACTTCCTGTGACAACAAGAAACCAGGGGATCCTGGAYCTAACAATGACTATTGGTAAAAAAAATTAGACTCATAGCTACAAGCTAAATTTATACAAAAACATGTACAAGTAATTTAACTACTATTCATCTAAGTTTTCATCTCCAAGGAGTTTATGTTTGAAATAATATGATCAAATAAAACTCAACATTTGCATTAATATAAATAATCTTGGTATCAAAATAAAGCTAACACTTGSGAGATTTCATCAGAAGTATAATTATCAAAGCAGCTGCTATTGTTTCAGAAATTGTGAGGATACAAGATAAAAAAGGCTTATTTTCCCCCCTCGCCTGAAGCTTTTCTGGATTATACAGTAAATGCTCATGATAAAAATATCATGTGGACATTACCTGAGCAAAGATTCACGCTGCTAAAAATAAACTACAACAAAGTTACAGAAATTTGACTGAAGAAATAACTGTTTTGTCGTTCTGAGCAGGATGGACCATTTTGGTTCCATCAATAAACATTRCAATTTTTTCAATTAAAAAAACCTTATTTTTCTTACACGCCTGAAAAGACTTGTTTTGAATGGTTTTATTTTTTATATCCATACATTTGTTTTTCACCCCATTCAAATAAAAACGATGGTAAATGGTTGAGTTTGACTCCAAGAGGAAAATCAAGTTTAAAAAAACATTTTACAACATATTTTGGTATTTTCTCTGACATGCACCATTTTGTACAATTTGTGTACTTTCCAGTTCAACAGCTTGTGGCTTTAACTTAAAGCTTTTAGCCTAGATTCTGACACATCTCATGACACACAACATGTCTATGTTTAGTCTTACATCAACAGAAGTTAACAGAAAAAGAAAACAGGAAGTGCAGTTTTGCCCCCATCATTATATATGTATTCATTAATAAATTTCGCAGGAAGCATGAGTCCAGTTTGCTCTGCTGGAAACAATAAAGATGAGATTTTGCTGAATCTCCTCCAGGGGAAGCAGTTATTCCTCTCAATTTTTGCTTCTGCATTTCAATAAAAACACAAAATATAAACATAGCTTTTTTGGATGACATCATATAATCATGCACAGAAATGTTAAACCAAAATAGGGAAAAGAAGGAAAACCAAATTAATTTTATTTTGTTACTGTAAAAACATGTTACGGGCATTTTGAAGTCAGGTTCTATTAAAAAAAGCTATTTAAAATAGAGCGTTTCTGCTGAATTTTAAGAAACAGTGTTTATGTTAGACAGGACTGATGAGCTAAGACCTTTTTAAAACAACTTCAATCTCCAAAATTGAATAGAGACAGATATCTAAAGCACTTTCCATGCAGCCTCGAGGCAATTCCTTCAAGATTTAGTGATGTGTTGTGGTCTATAAAAACTCAAGATTATCATATTTCTATCAGTGCAAAGCCAGACTGACCTTAGTGTAAAAGTTTAAATATGACCTTTAGAAYGAACTGTTATGAAATGTTGAAAACTGGTTGTTTAAAGAAGGCAGCAACCTACTTTCAGAGTTGTACACCCTGAAACTTATTATGTTTTCCACKTTTTAGTTCCAGAAACACTTCCAGCCACAGCTTCACCAAGTACAACTGTTACAACTGTTTCAACAACCATTACAACATTGACCAGCACAACAAAAGGTAAGAAATTATTTTATTTTCATTTTTTTGACGAATCCTGGTTGATAAACTCAGAAAACCTTCCAAAATCAGAAAAAGTGGCTACATTTATATGGATATGAGTAATGAGAATAAATGGCCAATCAGAATAAAAATGYGTTGTGTAATTGCCCCAATTCTGATCTGATTCAACTCGATCAAAATTAATTGGCAATCTGAACGAGAGGGGTGTTTTATGCTGATTGATAATCGGAATGGTGTGCATGTGAATGCTTATTCAGATCATGGTATTCTGGTTGTGGAGCGCATGTGCACCCTAAGTCAGTCTGATGTATTTCCACATGGCTAAATGCTAATACGTATGTCAGGAAGCAAAAGTGGTTGGTTAGCAATGCAATATTTCTAGAAACGTGGAAAGAGCTGAAAATGATCGAACCCCTTGATAGTTGAAAGTGGAGGAATGCTGGGTCATATGTGTTTGTTTATGTTCAGTAAAGTAATAAAAGCCTGGAGCAACACTCATCCTGTCCAGATAATTAATTTTGTGCCCATTTAAACTATGCATTCAGATTATTTAAGCAAAAATGTTTTAATCTGATCAAAGATTTTTGTGCCTGTAAACATATATGTTTCTGTTCAGCTCACATCGACCTCTGAGCTCATTCAAGAAGCCAGTTCTGGTCTAAAACTGCAGCGATGCACCTGTGTGTCTGTTCCCGCWCAGGTCCTACAACCATCCGCGTGGTGAATGGCAACGACAAGTGCCAGGGTCGCGTCGAGGTCCTCTACAAAACTGTCTGGGGGACGGTGTGCGATGACGACTGGGACATCACCAATGCCAACGTGGTGTGCAGGCAGCTTGGCTGCGGCCCCGCTGTAGAAGCCAAGGGCTTAGCCTTCTTCGGCTACGGTTTGGGTCCCATCCTGCTGGACAATGTGGAGTGCAGTGGCACCGAGTTGGACCTGGCTAACTGCTTCAACCTGGGCTGGGGTCAGCACAACTGTGGCCACCATGAGGATGCTGGAGTTATCTGTGAATGTAAGACTTGTACGATATGACATCATTTGGAACTTAATAGGTCAATATTTAAAATATATTCATACACTGTRGTATGTGGAGTATTTGGACTCATTGTTAACTGAACACCTGTGTGAAGTCATCAGTTCCATTGTTAGCTCATTATTTTTACAGACATCTAGTTATTTATTCCCACTCTGCTGACCTGATAAGTCTGATTTGTAGTCCATGAGAAAGCCCGTTCTCTCGTCTCACATGGGTGCAYGATGAATACGGTTCAGTTTGTCACTCTTACCGCCTGCTGAGACCTCGTCTTGTGCCTCAAGTCAGAACTAGTTCTCGCATCATGTGTCAAGCATTGTGTAGTTGGTCAGAACTTTGTGGGCTTGTTGTTTATGTGAAGTGACAGCAGTGAGCCGATCTCTGAGCATCATCAGCTGAGAGCCGCTGACCAAGGCTGTGAGAAAATACAGCCAACATCACAACTGTTCCAGCAAAAAAATGGCAAAGAAAGCCAATGAAAACTTCCTCTATCCCTTAGARGAAGAGGAGTTAGATCCTCTAACTCTTCTTTTTGGAGCACAGTGAACCACTGCATGAGTATAGTTTATGGAGTGGAATACGTCTCACAATGGGAGCGCACAAGCAACAAGATTTGAGCACATGAACTTTCGAGTGAGCATATTAAGATTTGAGTGAACTCAAATCGTGTTGCATGTGTGCTCAAACGTTACTTTATCTGGTAATATGTATTTATTTGTTCTGATACATTTTTAGCCAACTCATTTTAGGTTGTTTATTTCAGCTGCACAGTCCACAGAGTGTAACATATCTGGAACCTACTAATCTCAAAGTAATGACCCTTTTCCACTGRCGCCTCTACAGCACGATTCAACACRTTTTTTTACTAGCAAGTATTTGTGGAAGCAGCCCCTTTTTCAGGACTTACTTCATTGTGGTTCCCGTGCTCGCCTGAAAACGTGACGTCAGAAGACTGTCGGTCACTGATTGGTTAGGGGGGGGGAGTCACTAGTTGCGTCACAAAGGCCGTGTCCAAATTCAGATTTGCCAGCATTTCACCAGCCTGAACACATTATTATAGGTGTGAAAGTCTCAAAAGTCAAATTCACAGGTGAGCAGATCCGTGTACTTGTGCAAATTTGATCACGTGCTCACTCAAATGTTGATGCGCGTGCTCGCTTTATGTGACGAGATTCTCTCCAGTTCTGCACGGAGGAGCCCAGAGAGCATAAAAAATAAAGATGAGTCAAAGCAAATCAAAATCACTGTAAACCTGAGGGCGTRAGTTCCTTGTTTTAGGGGCCAAATCAAAAACACACAGTCCCCTTGATATACAGCAATGACTTGTTTTTAAATCATAAAAAAGGATAATTTAAATTTGTGTTTTTAAAAATTGTCCTAAGTCAATAATCAACTTCATCCAACTTTCTCTTTAGCCTTTTGACCTTAAATAAATCTAAAAACATGGACACGTCAGGTCAGAATTACTCTTTGAAGTCTGTGAGTCTGAGTTAGTGGTTGTCAGGATCCTCAGCTTTGTGTATGTTTAAAAAAATTGTGATTGTGTAAATATTTGCAATTGTTAGAAATATGTACACTCACACGCAACCATTGAGAATAAAAAAAAGTGTTTTTGTGAACATCTGTTTATGGATACAAATTGAAGAAAAACTTCATGTAAAATTCACAAACTTGCTTTTGAGTGTGACTTTAAAGTCATGTGCAAACAGGAAACCTRATTGGACGATGGTGAGTCGACCACAAACTGAACTGTCCAATCAGAGAACAGATGGTTAGGTTAGCCTTCTTCACCGCAGGTCCTAAAAAAACATTTTGATGATGGACGACAGCGCCGACAGTTCTGCAACTCAGGTGGGTTTTACTTCTTAATTATTGTGGAATCTAATACTCTTTTTTTTTAAATCTCACAATAATATTCAGAATAACTGCTTGCATGCAAATGAAGAGGATCTTTATACCAGCCTTAAAGTTGAAGCTCTGAAGCTGTAGCTGCATGTGAGCAAACCAYGTGGCAAACAACTTCTGATACAAAATTTATTTTAATGACCCTATTTGAAAAGCTGTAAATCATTAAATGTTACGTTTAATTGTGTCTCCCTGATCACCACTGATGTATTTAATGTTAACTTTTTCAAAACTCACTTTAGGAGATTTGACGACTGGACTCTGCTCCAAGAAAGACCTGAATCAGCTCATTCTCCTAAAGTTCCTGCTGCACAGGTACACACTCTTCTTGTTACATTTGTATGAATTAACGGGAAATGAAGATTACAAAAAAAAAATTAAAAACCATTACTTGGCATGTGTTTATTTGTCATTTTAAGCATTCAAGGCTTTAAACAGGGCTGTGGGTCACATAAAAGACATCCTTCTAGTTGCAGGAAAAGCATATATTTWAAAAAAAATCTATTTTTTCTTATGAAAATGTGTTCTCGTGCATATAGAGAGTGGACATGTGGTAGAAGAAGAAGCTTTTATTTTTGTRAAACTGGGATAAAATAGGAAAACAAATCCAGAAGTTGTCTCATCTCTTTGCTTACATAATGCTCTTCTTTCTTTCTTTTTCTTGTTTGATATTTCTCCTGAAAAGACTTTGAATTTGTTTTCAGGATCATCTGTGGCGTTACTCTTGGCACGGCGTGTCAAACACGCTCTATGATCTTCTCATTTGCCAAAAGGAGACACACCACCAGATCCAACAAACAGGACTGATCTTGTTTTCGTTGCACAGTGTGTATTTTTATTTTATTTTTTAAATAGAACACAAGCTTATTTGAACAAGTTTTGTAGCATGTCGGAAC